CATGCATCTCTCGTACGGTACCGCTCGGCGCTGCCTGGAGGGCAGGCGAGCTTTCTCGGTCTTTTAAACGTTGTACTCTCGAAATGAGAACCCGGCTTCTTTTCCCCTCCTCTCTCGCGTGAACTCCAAGTCTAGCACCGTCGGCTTACGACGACGCCTCGACTGCCAACTCACTCGACAAAGGAATTCGTACACCTCCTGATTCGCACCGTCGCGCGTATTCCTGACCTCCCCGGTCTTGATCTCTTCGCCCGACATCTTTATATTCGGCCTCTACTCTATCGAGTCACCTATCTACTAAGCTACCCACAACCAGGACACTAACGGTACGCTCTACGCGTACTCGTCAGTGGCTTACTCCTCGTATCTAGATCCTCCCCACGCTTACCGCGTGTCACTCCCGTCCGAGCGACCTCGTTCCCGCCACCTGCGCCCGGGGGATCCCGCCACAGTGGTGACCACCGCAGGGGATAAGGTTATCCGTCTCGGATCATCCACCAGATAGGTCCTCGTCTCCCTTTCTCGTTTCATTTCTCTCTTGCATGCCCCCTGGCCCAGCATCTTCGTCCAAACCCTGGCTCGACGCGAACGGACAGCCTATTCCCGACTTTTCCGCCCCTACAAGCTCTCAAGGAGCGCGATCTCACCGGGCCACACCATCTTTACCCACGTTCCCGAGCGCCTCGTCCTTGCTGACTGTATCGCCGGCGTCTATCTCCTCATCTTCTATAAGTTCTCTCAGCCCGTCGCGTCAATCTTCTCCTCTCACCATCATGTCGACGAATGCCCATCGTGCCATGCCCGTCCCCCACTCCCGTGAAGCACCGCGCTTTGACGGGAAGCGCGTCCGCGACTTTCTTGATCACCTTGAAGAATGCGGCAGGGCAGCCGAGCTGGATACAAAGGAGTTGCCCAAGTATGTCGCGCGTTACTGTTCCCGAGACGTGCGCGAGCTCGTCCAGAGCTTTGATTGCTTCGAAAAGAATGATTGGGATGCTGCGAAGCAGCAGCTTCTGAACATGTACGGCGCTTCTGACGAGCCCGCTCGCTACACGCTGGCGGATTTGCGTCACTTTTGTAAAGCGTCGGCTCGCGCGAAACCGTTCAAGAATCGCGCCGAGATTGAGGCTTACTACCGCGACTTTCATAAGATCGCTCAGTGGCTCGTGAAGCAGAAGCTACTAACCATCACAGAGCTAAATAGGTATTTCTACAGAGCTCTGCCAGACCGCGTACGCGACGAGATACGGTTGCTTATTCCCGAAGCAAATCGCAAGGCCGACAACCCGCCGTCTGTCGACTCTGTCCTGACTCTTGTACGCGCCAAGTTCGACGAATCTAATCTCGACGCCTGGGATGCGGACTTCGAGAGCGATGTTGAATCTGATGGCGATGGCTACGAAACAGCAAATGAAGACGACTACCGCTCCGGTGCACGCGAAGCGCCAACTCGGCCGGGATCGCCGCCGCCTCAGCCTTCTACCTCCAAAGGCAAGAGCAAGGTCTCCTTCAAGCCCGCTTCGACAGAAGTACCTTCGGCACCGCCTGTCGACACCACCCAGCCCCGCGATAGTCCGGTAGACGCACTTGCGGACCAATTGCGAGGGCTTTCCATCAACACGGTCTTACGGGCACTGTCGAAGGACCAGGTCTACGAGCTGGTAACGACCGGTACCCTCTCAGCGAGCAACAGCATGACGCCACCAGCACCGCAACCGGCCAATCCTGCTTCGAACCAGAACCGGCCGGGTTTTAGTTCAGTGTGCTTCGTCTGCGGACAGCGCGACGCACACGGTATTCAGAGCTGTCCCGAGACGCACGCACTGATCAATGAGGGTATCGTTCAGATAGCCCTTGATGCAAATCAGCGGCGCCGCGTTCTCCTCTTGGACGGTAGCGAGCTCCCAATGGCGCCGCCAGCTCCTTACGGACAGACGCGCAAATTGGCTCCGTACTTGCGCCAACTGTATGCTGCCGGCCAACTCCCTCGCGCCCCTCCTGTGCCAACGACGTCGGGTTCCACGGCCGCATTAGCCAAAGATGCTCCGCCACACAGCAAGCCCTCTGCTTCACCATCCTCGCATATCGCAGGCACGTCGGCTGTTGTGTTCAGCATCGATAATCCGGATGCCCAGGCAACTGGAATATCGAATGCAGCAACATATGATCAGTACGCACCAGGGCTCCCGCCGAACGCTGATTTCTATCTTAACTCAGAGTTCAATGTCGAGCCCGTCACTCGATCGGGTCGGGACACCGCGGCCCGAACAGCACCCTACCCGTCCGATAAGCGTCGCCCAAATGGCTCATCCGACAGTGCGCCCAATCCCCGCACACCTGCACCTGCCAAAGCCCCGACTACGCCACTTCCGCCAACCGCTACACCGTCTACTCGCCCGCCTGCCACTTCCGCACCCGCCCCAGCACCTGCCGCCACGACTCCGCCAACTGTTCCTCGACCGCCAGCCCCACCGCCTCATGATATCAACACCCGCAACCCTCCTCGGAAGCCCTGGACGGAACGGAACCAGGATGTTGACATGCGGGACACTGACAAGCCCAGGAACCAGTATCGATTCACATCGAAGATTCAGGACGCCGTGAACACCGAAGACGTCGAAAAGGCGATCTGGGATCTCCCGGTCACATTGCCGCTCCGCCAGCTCGTCGGCATCTCACCTTCCCTGCAGAAGTCCGTTACTGAATACACCCGTGTCCATCGGGAGTACTTAACCCAGAACGCGCAAGGTGAGTTCGTC